TTTGTGCATTTGTTGCCATCCTCATTCTCAAAACATTTGTTTTCTGCTTGAGCCCTTGGTATCAGCTCATTTTCACCCCTAAAATAGCCTTTGCTCATAGGTGGGAGGATTAAAAAAACCCAAGCTGACTGCCGCCGAGTGGATGTTGACTGACATTGACCCCATAGGCCAGGGCAGAACTGCCCCTGTGAGTTTCTGAGACTGGACCGTTCACGAGGTTAGAAAGTCCTGTCTTTTCCCCATGGACAGGCTGGTAGTTTTGAACTGCTGACCTCATGGTTTACAACCCAGCCAGTAGCTGCGATGCTACTAGGGCTCCTGGTGTGAGGAGAGTGGACAGGAATGTTATAAAATGTTCTTATTTCTCAAGAGAGTGTCAACTCCGTTTAGTCTTTGTATTCAAACAATATGGTATTAGCCTGTATAAACCAGAAGCTAGGGCACCCTTGCCCTGGATTCTTCAGAGCGAGCAGCTTAGTGCCTCCTTTGCCTCTTTCTCTGCCCTTCCCTCACCAGTGTCAGGGGCCTGGCCCTCGCTTAAGAGAGCCACACGAATGGATATAGAACTGAAGTGTCCGGGTCTGGCCTGGGGCTGGGGACTCCCTCCATCTCCCCTCCGGCCTGCAGAAGCAGAAGCTACCCTTTAAGCCTTGCATGCAGGGGTTGTGGTGGGGGGATTCCAGAGCCTAGATGTCTGCTTTGGGGCTCTTCTAGGGTGTGGGGAGATCCCTCCTTCCTGACAAGTGGCCGGAAAGACTTGAAACGCCCCTGACCAGGGAGTTCCCAGATGTGGTGAGTCCTGTGGAAGTGACCAATGTATGCTTATGTTTTCACGCATGTATCTTTTAAAGAATTATGAAGTGAATACCCATATGACAACCACTCATCTCTTTATTGTGGTGTGTGTATATATATATAGACATGCTACAAAATAGATGTACATATAAAAATACCGCTGCCAGGGTTCCAGTTCATGTATGCACAGGCTTATTTCAAAGGAACACGTTTAAACATGCCTCTGTAATGAGTAGATGACTGCAGATGCGTCCTCTCGGTCACTCGCTTGGCTTTCTCTCTTTAGGGTGCCTTCGAAAGAAGGGATACTTAATCCAGAAGCCCTGTGTGAAGAGCAGTAGCTCAGAGGGTTTATCTGTCCACGGATCTTTTCAGCAAGGTGGCAGCTCATGAACACCACCTTATGGAATGAACAACCACTAGGGTGGGTCTTGGGCTTCCTGAGCCAGAGTCCAAGCAAGACACGGGCTTCTGAGGAACTCCGCTGGGCAGAGGTCAGAGCGGAAGGTCCTGGTGACTGCTCTTTGGAATTCCCCAGGGGGAATTCTGATGGAGTCTTTGACACAAGATGATTGTGGCCCTTATTTTGAAGACATTTTAAGAAAGTTAAAAATCACATGGGTGATAAATAGGCCAGGATGTTTTTGAGGGACGCTCCACCTCCCCCACAACAATACACCTGTTCATCCTTCAAGGGTAGCAATGGCTGGGCTGTGAGAATTTGTTTGGAAACCTCGCCCCATTCGCCCCTTTAGATTTCTTTTTGCTCCTCAAATTCAGAGAATGGGAGCGCAGTTTGAGTGCCTTGAGGGTACCCCCAGCGTAGTCCCTGACCGGGTGTGTGTGTGGGGGATAGTGGTAGACATCCAGGAATGCAGAGCTCTCTGGGGAAGGGCTTGAGAGATGGAAACCGCACTGTGAGGGGGTCTAGACTTAGGAGGATAGACTGAGAAACAGCCGCTTCATGTTTTGATGTTTTGGTTGAAGAAAGGTGCCTTTGGATTTGCAGCAATACTTTTTGACTTGCCCGCTGCATGCCTCTGTGTGTCTCCATGACTAGACCCTGAGGGGCTTCCAGTCAGGAACCAGAGCATGACCACCTTTGTGATCCCACTGACTGCCCACGTCATGTGCGGATCCAGCCCGAGCATGGCACGCAGTGTCTAGTGACATACAGTGATTGCACTCCAGGAACTTTGGGGGCCCTACTGTGTGTGTATTGGATTTATAATCATAGAGATTTGGGACTTTTCAAAACCTGACTGTCCCTGGCTTTAATGCTCCTGAGTGACACTGGTTCCTGAGTCGAAAGCATGCTTCCTAATAGCACTGAGGAGAGGCCAGAGCGCGGGAGTAGGTCAGCGCATGGGTCCTGCCTTTTGATCCTGCTACTGGGGGCTGCACCTCCAGCGACCCCGAGCAGAGACCGAAGCTGACCTTGCACTGTCCAACCTGTCAGGGGAGATAAGCTTCTCCGGGCTCAGCACCTGACCCTCCCTGTGCCTACCTGCGCCTGGTTCCTGGAGAGAAAGCTCCTGACACGGCACTAACCCAAATGGGCACTCCAGTTCAAAGTGCAGGACCAGAGAAGAAACCGCCTATCGATTGGCAAGCGAGAGCGTGTCTTTGAGGGGGCCGCGGACGCTCCAAGTTTGCTGGACTGAGTCGAAGGCTCTCGCTTTAATGTGTGCGGCTGTGTTCCACACCACAGAGAAGGCGATGGCCAGCTCAGCTCTGCCGGCTGGGCCCCGTGGGGTAGGGAGGTTCAGAAGCCGAGGGAGGTTCCCGCCCTTGGGAAACTGTCCGGAGGCGCTGCGCGCTCTAGACCTGGGATGACGGTACCTGCTCCTAACTTTTCCTCCCGGCTTCCTGCTCTTGCGTTCGGGCAGGCTAAATCGGTTTACGGACACGGAGCTCAGCCTGACCCCGCCCCCTCGCCCCGCTCCCCAGCACGGCACCCCTGGCAGACACCTGCGAGAGGAGGCGGCCCAGCGCCAAGCTGGTCCGACTGGTTCTGAGCAGGAAGTCTCCCGCCCTCGCCCCGGGCAGCCAAGCAGCCTGGGCGCTGGCCCGGGCGTCCGTCGGTCCGTCCGGCGGCCCTCCGAGCGGCTCCCGGGCGCGCTCGGACGGACGCGCGGCCCAGCCCGTCGGGAGGGAGATCAATGCGGCTTTGTCTGGGACGCCCACACCCCGGACGCCGCTCCCGGCCGGCCGACGAATCGCAGCGCGGCGGCGCGGGGCGCGAGCGGGGGTGAGATAAGCGGCCATGTGACCCTACCTGGGCCGGGCCGGCGGCGCCGGGGGAGGGGCGCGCAGGTGAGCAGCGGCGGCGCCGCCCGGGGACGAGCAGGACGCACGCGGCGGCCGCTGGGGCTCGGCAGCATGTCGGTCAGCAGAAAGGACTGGTCCGCGCTGTCCAGGTGAGCGTGGCCGCGGGCGGAGGCGCAGGGCCAGCGGCGCACCGCTGGGGCGCTTTCCGCCCGGGGACCCTGGCACGGAAGCCCGGTTTTTCCTCCTGCTGCTCCCCAGAGGGCGCAGAGTTAGTGCCAAACTCAGGCCCCCTCGGATGACAGGGTGGGCATTTTTGCCTCTCCACCGCGCCCTTCTTGGAGATTAAGTCCCAAATGGGGTGTCAGGGGAGGGCCGGCCCCGGCCTGGGCAGCCCCCCAGGTATGATCCACTGTGGGGGGAGGGGGAGGAGGAAAGATGGTGTATATATTAGAAGTAACTTCTAAGCGTCCTCTTCTGAGAGAAGCCTCACTTCCTGGCCCCGTTTTTCTGGAAGCAAATTTTAGGGTGGGGGTGGGTCTAGGGAGGAGCCCTCCGCCCCTCTTGGGGCGTAGGGAAAGTCAGGAGTGGGGTCAGTGCGGTTTTGCAGGGTGAGCACAGTCAACAGGGGCTGAGAGAATCAGAGGCCCCCTCCCACCAAGGGAGGCTCAAGTCTGAGAAGACATTTTGGGGTGGGGCTGCCTGGGCTGAGTGACTTCGAGATAGTAGGTAACCGGCTCTGTGTTGCGGTCTTTACTTAACAGGAGCTCACTGGGGGCTGCTCCTCCAAACAGCCAGGGCCCCGATTTCTTGTCTCTGACTGTTGGACATCCTGTCAGGGTCAAGAAGCCTGGGAGGGGACTTAGGAACCAGGAGCCTTCATGGTGGGTGGGCCCCCCTGACCATGCATCTTGGGGCTAGTGCTCAGATGAACACTGGCTCATCTCTCTCATCTACCTTGCCCCCAAGGAAAGTGAGGCTTAGGTGGTTGCCCAGACTTGGAGGCCTGCTCCTTTGGTCTCTTAGGCTCTCAACTCAAACTCACTCCCATTGAATCATCTCCAGTTCATAAGGCCCGATAGGGTAGAACTGGCCCGTTGGGTTTCCGAGATTGTAACTCTGTCTAGGAGCAGATCTTGTCATTGTTCACCCTCGGGGGCAGCTTGTGGATTTGAACTGCTGAACTGGCTGCTGGCAGCCCAACACGTAGACCACTACACCCCCAGGCGTCTTCCTTGAGGCTCTAACCAGGTGGAAGTCAGCCTCAGGGCTCCTACCAGGTGGGCTTTGGGTATTGAGGCCTTTGTGGAGGTCAGGGCTGTCTCCAGGTGCAGACCGGCATCTTCCTGTGTGGGTACCACAGGCTTTCCGCATCAAGGCCGCTCTCCCACATTTCCCTGGGCTTGCTTGATCAGTTTCTCCAGCGCTGGGACTCTCCCAAGTCCATCCCCAGGACTGGGGGTCCAGTTCCCCAGATTCTCAACACTTCAAGCTGCTTGAAGGACAGTTGCCCGCTAACCCAGGTGTGGAGAAGCCATGGGGTGTAGAGAGTGCAAAAGGAAAGCCCAAGAATGGAGGGTGCCCAGTACTCTTGAAAAGGAGTCCGCCCGCGCTGAGGCCTGACCAGGTCTGTGCTGAGGCTGGGACTGGGGGCCAAGGTCATGGATGCTGCATGCGGGTGGATGTGACCATATGGGTGCCTGTAAATGGGCATGCTGATTGTGTGCACAGTGTATGTGTGGGCTGATGTGTTTACAGCCTCTATAGTGTAAAGACAATTGTGCAGGTAGTGGGGTCTTAGGCTGCTGAGTTTGGGCCCTGAAGTCCGAGGATGCCCCAAGTAAATGTGTATTGAAGCGTTCAGGGTTGTGCGCTGGGCTAAAACTATGAACCAGACACTCTTTCTCAGCAGTTCCCAGCCTGGTGGGATCTATGTGATTTTGTGTCTGGAGCGTGCCTGGATATGCAGAGGGCCGGTGTGTGGCGTGTGGTGGGCAGCCGGGGCACTGCAGCTTCTCAAGTGGACGGATGGTCTGGTCTCCACTTGTCTACTGCCCAGTGGATCTGGCTCAGCCCTGGGGCAGCAGTCGTGCCCTGGCAGCCCCCGGCCTGCCCTCCGTGCCGGGCCCCAGCCCTGACAGCGCCCCGTGGGCAGACACAGCTGCTGCCAACAGTCACCCTGAGGAGGCACCTGGAACCCAGGAACGCTCCTACTCCACTCCCAGCAGGAACAACAAGCCTCGGCCGGCCGGCCGGCAGGAGAGAGTGTGAGTCACTGTCCTCCAAGCCTCCCAGGCTGGGAGTGGGCACTGTGCTAAGACAGTGACGACTGACCGACCATGGCTCCAACTGGAGCTGAGCTCCTCGGGGAGGAGGTGGGAGGTGGGTGGGAGCTGCAGGGTGGTCTGTAGTCCATCCTTGGCTGATAAGAAAACTTTGGATGCTCCACCTGGCATGGGGGCAGTGGTGAGCTGGCTGGCTAGGCGCCTGGGCTGCAGCCTTGTCCTTTTCTCCCTGGGCGAGGCCTGGCTGGGCCTGTCTGCGGGGGGTGAGGGGTGGATCTGAGGCGGCGGGGATGGAGTGGCTGACTGGTTAATCATTGCCTGGTCTGGGCCCTGAGCAGCCCTTCCGTGCCCTCCGCTTCCCTGACACCTCTCCTAAGGTTGCCACGGCTGGAGATGGCCTCAGAGACCTCTCCCCACCCCACCCCGGGCGACCCCTCTCATCACACAGGATAGCACAGCCAGTCTGCGCTGGGCCTCTGGCCCTGTGCTGGGTAGGGCTGTCTCCCCTTTTCTCCTGGTTCCTGATTGGCACATCATGCTGCCTGGGCCCCGGGTTCTAGGAGACGCTTCTAAAACAGCCTTCATACCCTCCACTGTTTTAACCTTGGCAAATGTGCCTTGCTCTGTTGTATAATGGGCTCCTATATGAACGATGGGTGCAGGAACCCTGGTGGCACGGCATTTAAGCACTCCACTGCTAATTGAAAGGTGGGCTCTTTACACCCACCCGCTGCTGCTCAGGGGAAGCGTGGGAATCTGTTTCCATAAAGAGTCCCACTTCTGTCAAACCATTTCTGACTCATGGCAACCCTGTAGGAGTGGAGAGACCTGCCCCGCTGGGTTCCCAGGCTGTGATCTTATGGGAATCAGACTGCCACGAGCGTCAGGGGTTTCGAACTGCCAGCCTTTCAGTCCGCAGCTGAGCTTTTGACCACTATGCCTGTAGGGTTTCTTCTGTAAAGGGGACAGCCACGGAAACTCCACGGGCCATTGGTTCTACCCTGCCCACTAGAATCACTATGAGTCAGAATCAATTTGATTCTGTTTGGGGGGAAAAGGTTCTGGAGTTGGAATGGACTGATGACAGTGAGCTTGAGGCGTACAGTTTTGTTTAAAACTGCGGGGGTTCTCCCCACCCTCCTGTCAGCTGCTGCCGAAGAGGTGGCTGTGTGACCCTGAGGAGGGCCTGCCTTAGAGCAGGCCCAGCATTCACTCTTGGGAGCAGGAGGAGGCAGGCCTGGCAGAAGGATTTATAGGAGAAAGAGAACCTTCGGTCTAGGATGGACTTGGGGAGGTCAGGTGTAGGGAGATGGCAGCCCTGCATAGAGGCAGAGAGAGAGCGTGCGTCCGAGTGAAGGCCAGGAGAGGTGGGGAGGAGGCACAGCTACCCAGGACTGTGGCATTAGCTGGTGAGAGTGGCAGGGATGCCTGTGGGGCCGGACCTGCAGGTTCTGCCCAGGGCTTGGCTCGGGGGCGAGGAAAACCCACAGCTATGAAATCAACCCTGATTCATGGTGACCCTGTGGGACAGAGCGGAGCTGCTGTCATTGTCACCGACGTGGATGGACACATCTTTCTCCCACAGAGGGGTGGGTGGTGGGGTGGGGGTGGGTGGGTTGGAACCTTTTTTCTAGCAGCTGAGCATTCACCACTGTGCCCCGTGGCTCTGGGACTAGAAAGAACAGCAGTATTGGCCCCTGGGTTTCTCCCAAACATCAACTTCCCCTGGCTGCACCTTCAGAGGTTTAAAGACAGACCCTGTCGGGCTTGCCCCACCAAGAAGGTGGCACCTGGCCTGGCTTAGGGCCAGCCCGCCCCGGACTCCCTTTTGTGGCAGTTAGTCTCGAAGCTGAGGGCTTTTGACCGACTAGCCTAGGTAGAAAGCATGGCTCTTTAGGTGTGCCACCTTGAGTCCATTGTCAACCCCTCTGAGTCTCCTTAGCTGCCAAGGAGGGGGTGGGGTCATGCCACCATACCTCATAGGGTGATGGTGAGGGTAAATGTTCCCTGTATCTGTAAAATACTTAGGGCCAGGCATTATGGTAAGCACTTGCATGTTTGTGCTTTTAGGTCTTCCTCCAGAGCCTGATTTGTCATGGCTCACCACATTCAGCAAATACCAGGATGCTGCAAAGAGTCTGTGGAGATATTCCATGATTGTCCCATTCCACATTTCCCCCCACGAACCTTGTGCAGTGTCCTCCTCTTTGATGCCGACCACGTGCTGAGAGCAGCTTCATTCCTTCCTTCCTGTCTTTTTGAGGTTCCAGCAACCGTGCCAGCTGGAAGTCCCCCCTTGGGGACTTTGCCCCTCCTTTCTGTTATTCAGCGGCCAGCGACTCTGTGTAATGTAGATAACACTGAACCCTGCTCCCCACCAACACACACCCCATAGGGAGGGGTCCATTGGGTGGTGGTAGCAGTGGTGGGAGTCCTGTCTTGCCAGGGCGCGAGGGGTGAAGGCAGCCCTGATTCCTGAGTGGTGAGTGCATCTTGGTGCAAGGCTGGGTGGGGCGGGGTGGGGGGAATGCCCTTCTGTGCCTGTGGCCTGGGAGACCCCTGGGCGAGGGCCACCCTTGGGGATGAGTCATTCCTGAGGAGCCGGGGCTCTGACGGATCACATACCACACTCGGCCCACCGGAGGACAAACAAACACAGTCTTCCCACAGGGCTGAGACAGGGCCTGTGGGAACCACGCTCCTCAGGACCTAGGAACCCTGAGGGCTCAGCCTGCCCCGCCTGGGCGTGCCCTGGGAGAGCAGTGGGCCTCAGAGGGGGGACAGGGGCTGTCCTCATTTTGGACTAGGAAGGGGGAGGCAAACCTCTAGAGGACTAGAGCACTGGAAACCCAGTTCAAATTCAAGCC